CGTACCACTATTTCCTTTTCTTGAGGTGTTTTTTCAGCGAATGCGTTTAAAAATTATTGAATTTTGCTTTTTGGTAAGTATCTAAATTATTTTTAATACGTATGATTATTTGGACGACGTGAATCTTTGGGTGCTTTAATTACATATTTTTCAATGATTAAAAGTTAAGTTCCTCTTTTAAGAGATTCATAATTGGACCAAGGGAAAAATGGGGACAGAACTACGCATGAGAAAAATAATAAAATAGGGCATGTTTTAGCCTACATCCTATGGTATGGTTATTAGAAGACATATTAAAGAAGTCCAGTTTTTTTTCCATCTAGCAATTGCGTCTCGTATAGCAAATTTATTACATGTGCAATAAAAATTCATGTTATCGATTACATATTTTAATTTCTCAAGAGGGCGATTCGTCCTTGGCAATATCAAATTCTCCAGACGCTTTTCACTGAATATCGATTAAAATAAGAAATGGGTTTTATACCTACATCACGACTGTATCATATCTGATAAAACTAATAAAGTGTCACGGGTAATAAAAAGAGGGAAAATGTATTTGTTAGAGTTTCACTATTTATGGAAAAGTTGTATTGAACTGCTAAACAAAAACAAGAATTTACTGAAACAAACATCCTCTTTTTACTATTTTTTTTGTTGTGGAGCACATAAAGGTGGTACTACACGCTCACGCGCCACAGTCGTAGTGTGCGCGAGGCTTTAGCCACCTTCTCAACCTTTATTCCTCAGAAGAGACTTTGCGGCCATTTAATAAATTTAAAAGGACACCTAGCCTTTTTAAACGGTTTAAAAGCCCCGGTGAACGATATGGGGTACAGAATTCAACGCCAACTAGAACCGCATTGTTCTATTTAAGACGTCAGGTCAGATTTGTGCAAAGTGTGCTTTGCACGTGCACCTCGAGAGACTCTCGTCTTTTCTTTTCGATTTTCTTGAGTAACACAATAGACCGCGTGGTGCATCCAGCTCTGCAAAATGTGCATTCTGCGAAGTCCAGGTTGATGCACCGAGTGTATTTTTAGACCGGATCGATGGGGATTTTAGGCAAAAATCTAATTCTTATTCGAAAAATTGTTTCCACAAGAAAAATAAGCTAAATAAACATAAAATCAATAAATAGCATAATTACTTTTTATTTTTGTTTTATCGGAATTTCTCAAAATAACATTAAAGCGATGGTTTTTACTGTTTTGTCTAGTGCGACCTTGTTTTGTAGCATCTACAAGTTGCTCTACGTAAAATGTACTGTATTGAAGGCTTAGGCTTTGTAATTAATAACTTAGAACCGGTATTGGTCTGGTGGTTTTACTGACGAACGACCTCAGGTGTTTAGCAGATATTGCGGGCGTAATTCATTGCCAGTCGGGACATTAGTCCGCGGAGTAGTTGCTTCCTCTATTATTTGTTGATAATTAGCATGTTTTCAAAGTTACGTTACAAAAAATAATTTCCTTCACAGAGCGGCACGCAGTTCGCTAACATTTAACCGAAACGGAGCCGTAAAACCTCTCGCGAGCGCCCCGTTCGTGCCCGCGGCGACCCGAAGTTCCATCTTACATTCTCAACTTTGACCTCGGACGTGCCTCGAAAGCGACGTTACTTTTATCCAGCGCCTTTTTCCCATACCTTAAAAACTTTTACGTCGCGTACGACGGAGAAGGCTACCAGATCTTATAGGTCGCGCCAGTGTATCGATTTCGTTTGTTTTATCTACGTCCAGCGGTTGGCGGTGCTGGAATAAGGTTTGTTTTGGGCAAAAATTAAAATTTATGCACAAAGTACAGTGTTGCACATCTTAAATGGTCAGAAAAACTGCGAGTACAATGTTACACATCCTAAATGACAAACGAATAATAATGCGGTCGCGAGTCAATGTTGGTCTATACAGGGCGGTACTTTAGATCGTTCCAATAATAAAGAGGGTGATTCTTTAGGTTTTAAGGAAAATAAGGCACTAAATACAACGTTCAAAAAGTCGGCGTTGAAATTTTGACTTTTCCGAGGAAAGAAGATGGTAAATTTCAGCGTTCCTAAGTTTTTTGGATTTTTAATGATTACATTATAATGAATATTCGATTGAAATAAAAAAATTCTAGAATATATTTCTGAAACCAATAGTTAGCTTTAAAATTATTTCCAATTCATTCCACTGTATGATTTTGTTAAGGCTCAAAAAAGATTATTATTGGACAATGACTATACAATGTACCAAAAAGTTGGCGTTGAAATTTTGAATTTTCAGAGGAAAGAAGATGTAAATTTCTGCGTTCTTAAATTTTTTGGATTTTTAATTTATTTGTGAAACCAATAGTTAGTTTTAAAATCATTCCTAATTTGTTCAATTGTATGATAAATTTGTTTAGACAATTACTCGTTTTTCGAACAAAGTAATCTTTTTCCAACAATATGTGAAAGAGTTGAAACTTACGCACGCTCGTGTCGATCGTACAACTTTCTCCACGTCCACTACGTTAGTACTTACCTAGAACAAAAATGAAAAATTATAATTAATTAACTTAAAATATCGTGCATAATAAGAAGGTAATAAAATTATATTTATGCTTATTTAACAGATAAATGCATTTGAAAGGAGTTGCAAGATAGGATGACACAGATACAGAATAACACTCTGTATAAATTATTTTTTTATCCAAGTATTTCGTGCTATCATTGGAGTTACTAATGCGTGTGCTTGATTTTAAAAAAAAAAGCACGGTGTTGTGTATTGCTCTATTTTTTTCAAATTCTCAAAGCCCACATGAAATTGCCAAAAAAAAAATATTTGTCTTAGGTAGATATACAGTGTTTAACTGACTACAAAGTATTAAAACGTGACATTTTCAAGGTGGCCGATGGTCACTCGCTAAGGTAAAATTTCAATACAGGTTCCCAGATGATACTAATTGCATTTTTAAAAGTTCCACCAGCTGTTTCCTTGGTCTTCGATCAGCTGTTGCACAACCGTGTGACGCTGGGCCTTTATTATTATGCCCAGCATCTGAGGCGAGATGGGGGTACATTGTATGCGTTATCGTAAAGTTGGTTGGGTAGGTCAGGTTGGGCATTTTTTATTGAGGTAGACGTTGGTGTCTATTCTTCAGATACAGGTAAACTTTTATAGAAGTGATAAAAAGGCATTTTTTAGTTTTATTAATTAGATGTATTTTTGTTTCATTCTTCAATAGGGCGATTTTAATGTTTTTTTCCATTACACGAAATTCATAACAATATTTCAACATCTTTCTCATATGTATTATTAAAAGAATGTATTTTATTAGTTCCCGTATTTTTTGCTTTATTACAAAGAAATTGTGGTAGATATTGGGAAGTTTCCGACGCGTTTCACTATAATATCCATTTGACAGCGAATTTGAAGAATTTTTATGGAATTTAAAATGACTGACGTATTTTGTTGTATTTGAACGCCATTTTGATTATATTTTAATGTTTTCTCATGCCGTTTCTACGTACATTGACGTATTTTATAGTTGTTTTGATAAATTTGAAGAATTCTGAAGCCAAGTCGAAACATTTTTATACAGAATGATTCAAAATTCAGTACACAGAATTTAGGGGCGTATTTTTGAGGTAAAAATAAGACTTTTTTTCTATAAACGTGGGTCCACAAATGCTTAGTTGTCGATATACAGGATATTAAAAAAGTTTTTTATATTTTTTGATTTTTTAAGAATAATTTCCAAACTAATTTGAATGTTGGCAAAAAACTTGGGGGAATAGGGTTTTTTAGAATGCGAAATTTAAATATGTCATTGGTTTTGACGCTGCTTGTAGAAAGCGCCACCTATAAGGGTACGCTTGAATTAAATTGGCCCTTACTTTTGACCAATGGCCTAAACCAATGACATATTTAAATTCAGCATCCTAGAAAACCCCCGTGTCTAAAGTTTTATGCCAACGTTCAAATTTGTTTGAAAATTGTGTTCTGATAACATCCGTAATAATTTTACTCCTCCGCGAAATCGAAACTGCCTCCGCCGCTGTGGTACGCTCTGATCCATCGAGGTCAGCCGTGCTCGAGCTCGGCTATAGCGATCGTGCGTTGTCCCAGTGTTGTCAAATCGAGGGAATTTTCTACGACTGAACAGAAAAAGATTTTTTTTTTTGGGAGAAAAGGAAAATACATATGTCATATGGAGTACGACGCATATTGCAAGAAATTAGTGTTAAACAAATTCATTGCGCTAAGGATGAAATTTGTTTTTTGTCTTCCATGGAGAATGGAAAATAAATTGTTTGTAAAGAAAATTTGGTTTGGAAAATAAATTGTTTGTATAAGAAAACCCCAATAATAAACAAATGAAGTGATACTAAAATAGCAGAAGGTGCTTTCTAAAGGAATGAGATTAGAAGTAAAATAAAATGCAGCTAAAAAAATCAACGAGACAACATAAGCAATGCCAATTTTGAGTAAATATTGGGAAGATAAAAACAATGGGAGAAGGATGTGAAGAGTATGTGAGACAGGACAAGAATTTTGCAGTGGGAAAAACAACGAATCATATGGTTGGATACATTATTTTGTTGAATACTGAAGAAATATTTTGAAAGATGTAAAGAAATTTGAAGAAAAGCACTAGACTTAGTTACCAAACATGACGAATTTCTTATTACTACTCACCAAGTGTATCAAAATATTTTTTGATTTTCTACAGATCGAATATTTCACAGATAAATTCAGAAAAGTTTGATTTACGTCGATATTAAGTTGTATTATGTCTTGTCTGCCTCATAAATACTAAAAATACTTGAAATAGGGCCAAATAAAAAACTTATCAATGTTTGTTTTTGTCTTTACATAGTGCATTTGTTTAAAAACGTTTGTATGATGCGACCACCGTACGAAGATCGGAACTAGACTCTAAGAAAGACTTGGCAACACCGCGCCATTCCCCCATAGTCCACATACCGCGCCTCCGTGCGGTGTCGCTCAGGGAACGCTCGAAAAATCGAGATGTTCGCAGTCGAGTCCGCTCGCGTTTGATGGGAGATATCGACTGTTCCTTCTGGGTGCGACCGTTTCAAGTCATGGAGTGGAGCAGCGAGGCATCCTTAGCCCTCATCGACGAGTACAAGAGACACCCCGTGCTGTGGGATTCGAGGCACCAGTCTTACTCCTCCAAGGTCCAGAAACAGGAGGCATGGGAGGACATCGCCCTCAATATGCAGATGGACCTGCTGGAAGTCAAGCAGAAGATGAACAGCCTGCTGGGGTCCTTCCGCAGGGAGAAGTCGAGGATGAGGAGGGTTAAGGAAGGCTCCAGCGGTACGTGTGGTAGTTTATGATTTTCTTATACCTTGATTGTTCCTTGAACCCAACAGCGTTAATGAGTAAAGGGCAATGTTGCATAGCAGGGCAATGGATTGCATGTAGTGTAGTTGCACAATAATTGAGTAGAGGTCGTGCTTGTTACGGGAATGAGCTGCACGCGAGGGTTAGTGGCGAGTGGGGCAAAATGTCGTAGTGTCACAATGAGCTTTCCAATCTTTTAAATTCTGGAAGCCAAACGAATATCGTATAGAAATATGAACTGTTCAAAGTCAACAACATTGTCCAATAATAGATCCAATATCCAATGTCCAATAATAAATTTAATCCCAGAGCTTGTAGAATGAAGTGCATGGTAATAAGTTTGACTGTTCTAAATTTGTTTGAGTTAAATTTGTTCTCTGTGCCACTCACTTAGTACCTTCCATTGCCACAGTTGGCAGTACTGACACTGATCCGTTGTTGAAATAATATTTCTAACAATATCAAGTAACTCGAGTACTATCAGACATTATTTTTTTCCAGTCTACTGTTCCAAGTGGTTTGCTTTTGAAAAAATGCAATTTTTGCTCCGGGAAGACGAAACCGACAGTTTGGGCGTAAGTAATCCGGGATCCCCGACCAACGCGTACTAAAAACTTGTTCCTCTAGATTAAACTCGAAGACGAAGAAGACTCCATCTTCGACGAGCTGAGGTTCCCCTTAAATGAACCTCAGGAGACTGTTCCAAGCGATAAAAGGGCCTCCACAGGATACGCTTCACCTTTGAGAAGGGCCAAGAAGCTTTTGAAACCCGTACCAGCGGACCCGGTGATTGAAGACCTATCCATTTTTCCACAGGACGAGTATGCTGCTTTTGGTAATTACATAGCCTGCAAACTAAGGAAGTTCGACCCCAGATCCAGAGCTTTCGTGGAGCATGCTATAAACAACATTCTTTTTGAGGCGGATATGGGGAAATATGACAATATGCCGACGCCCAGTCAAGAAGCTTTAGCTTCTTTGAATGACATTGCTAATAATTAGTAATGTTTTGACGTCTTATTAGAAGTAGGGAATAATATAAGCAGGATTTAGCGTTAGTTTTAATGAAATTTATTAATCTGTATTCTTAACACGTAGAAATTTAAGAATAAACATAAAAACAGTTAATACTTTGTTTTAGTATTGAATTGACTGTATATGTCAAATATGCCTCACTCAAAGAAGGTGTAAGGAAAGAAGGCAATGTGTCTTCAAAATTCGATGGCAGCGATGGCAACTGATCGGAAATTTCCTTAAAAAAAATAAAGATTTTTATTATTTTCATAATGCTACTGGTTTAGGTTATATTTTTTAATGCGATATTCAATTGTTTTTAAAGATCCTGCGTAATAATGGTACAGATTATTTAAAAAAGTATTACCCTAGAATTTTTGTTTTGTTCTTATGTCCGCACTGTCTAGCATCCGCGCGCGGAACATTCTTCAGCCCGTCCCTGTTCCCGGCGCACGAACGCTCACTCGTTTCCCAGTATTTTCACGGCCAACTCGAGCGACAAGGCGAGTCCCGGCGAGCGACGACGAACCGGAGCTCGCGTGGCCTCGCTCGCTGCACGCCATCACCACCGGGTCGCAGTTGTGCGTTCGTGCTCGTCCTCTGTGTCCGATATCGATCCCGTTTCGGCGCCATGGAGTGGACCGTCGAGGCTTCCCTGACGCTGATAGAACTGTACAAGAAGCAGCCGGTGCTGTGGAACACCAGGCACAGCTACTACTACTCGAAGGTGAGGAAGCAGAGCGCTTGGGAGCAGATAGCTTGCAGCATGGATTTGGGAGTGGACGAGGTTCGACAGAAGATGAATAGCTTGTTGGGCTCGTTCCGCAGGGAGAGGTCCAAGATGAGGAGGGGGGAGGGCAGGTACGGTACGTATAGGGCAGGATTGCTTGCGGCGTAGGGCGCTCGCGATGAGTGGAAACGGACTACAGCCTCACTTTATGAGCGAATAACTCTCAGGATAATTATTATTCCGAAAAACGCCGAGACAGGTCGATTTTTATTCTTTTCACATAAATTTCTTGTTACAGACTCTACCCCATTGGGGAAGGGGTGCAATCCCCCAAAAATCTTAATACGGACGGAGGGTTAAGTGACATTTTGTTTGAAAGGTATACTAGTGGGTTCTTTTATCAACAATCTTTATCTCCGAAACTAATCGGCCAAATTCAAAAATAAAACACGGTTAGAATACCTTTGAAACGATGTGTCACTTTTTCGTCCATCCCTATTGCGATTTTGAGGGAGTAGAGTCTGTAACAAGAAATTTATGTGCGTTTTTCGAAAAAATAATTTTTTCTACAAACGTCAAAAAATGACAAGGTTTGCGCATTGACAACAATATGCGAAGTGACCCTTTTTTTCGGATTCTTACGTTACCATGACACCGTGCGCGAAATACTTCGCGCACTAGGGTGCGAAGTATTTCGCACACTGCATGTAAATTAATAAGACTTTTGTATTTCAATCTTTGAAAAAATGAAGCAAAACTCCAAATTATTTTTCCGGTAAAAGATTTGAAGTTACCAAATTGGCCGCATCTGCTAAATTAGGTGGGGTACTACTTAGTTCATCGTCACTAGCAATTTCCATTATTTTAAATAATATCTGGCACCTTAAAAATTGAAGACGCGAGCACAAACGTCACTTTAAAATAATTATTATTGTTGTCAACAACAGCCACTTTGTTTCCATAGTAACAGTGAACATTTGATTAGGAAAGACATTTTAAGCCAGCTCAACACTATTTTCTATAATAAATTAGGCATTTTACTTATTTATAATATTTTTAAGAGATAGATTTTGACGTTTGTAGAAAAAATATTGTTTGCATCTCGTGCGCGAACTACTTTGGTGGTCTCGAATAATTGTTTAACTCGGCTTCGCCTCGTTAAAAAATTCAATTCTCGATCACCAAAGTAGCATTTCGCGCACTAGATACAAAAATAACTATTCTTGAGAGTAATTCGCTTTCATTTCGTTTTCAGGAGCCCACCCTAAATGTTGTATTATTTACTTTATTTCAAAGACATTAAGCTAATTCAAATTTTAACAGAAATCCTCTAAAATAAAGTAATAGTTATTTATACTATAAAGGAGGTAAGTATTATTTACCAGTCGAGGACGATTTTGCGCCCGAGCGGAGCGAGGGCTGGCAATAGAGTCCGAGACTGGTAAATTCTACTCAACTGCTGCGTGGTGTATAACATTTTATCTGCTCCCACAGTACTTTATGGTTCATGAAATAAAGATTAGGTTTTATTTTCTAACATTTCTTAATCAATTCATTTTGACATTATTCGAAATCTTGCAAAGTCGCCTTGGTTGTTTGGATTTTGTCGTTTCTAAGGTGTTTACAAACAAAGCTACATAAAAGTTGCAATTTTGCTGGCTTTCAATTATTATTTCTAAATGAGTGATTTTATGCATTTTCCCGTTATTAAAATGGAATATTTTCGCAGCATTGGGAAACTTCGCCTCGCGTTGGTTCGCATTCGACAAACTGCTGTTTCTATGGGATCGCCATGAGGCAGTGCCCAACGACAAAGTTGATTTGGAAGAGGTAAGTATTAAAAAAATTACACAAAAGAAAAATTCAACTCGCCCCCCCTTCTCCCACACAAATCACTCCTTAATGTTTATAATTAAAAAGCCGGTACATAGTTTTAGCTATCACCTAAGAAACAAATACATTATTTCTTAGCTTTCATAAAATTAAAACAATTTATTTGACGATTTTCAGCTGCAGAGGAAGCTGGATGAAGAAGGAGAAGACAACCTGGCGCTCGACAGCGACTCGAATCACTTATTAGAAGAAGAGTTGAACGCGGCAACTCATCAAACCTCCTTGAGTTCTAAAAAACAACCACGCAAAATATTCACGAGTTCCATTCAGCCACCTCCGACAAAGAAAACAAAATTTACACATGACCATAGTGGCGAGGACCTACCCACTTTCCCTGCCCAAGAAGAGTGCAGTTTGTACGCGAGGTACCTAGCGGAGAAATTGATGAGGATGAGTTGTAGAACTAGAGCTTTGGTGCAGCGCTCTATTAACAATATAATTTTCGAGGCGGATTTGGGCAAGTACGAGGATACGCAACAAACTCCGACAACTCTCTTAAGCTCCCATTTGGATGGGATCAACTTATCTTCTGCGCTCGACGGTTTTAAACTAGAACTAGATCAACTACCCCTAGGCCCAGAAGCCGCAGAAACAGTTGCTGAAAGTTAGCGTTTTGTTTAAAAAATTGTCAAATTTGGACTATTCCTAGTGTAAGTAAATCTCTCTAATTGTTTCTCTCGTCTTAATTCATAAATATATATAAATTCATTTTCTGGTGCTATTGAGGTAATATTTTTGTAAACATTTGTGAAATATTGTAAAGGCTGTCTTGATTGACAGAACAGTATTTAGTAATTCTGTTTTGTAACTAATGTAATAAAATTACGATATTTAATTGCTTTAGTTTTGTTTATTTATTTATTTACAAATACACTACTGAACTGAACCGAACTGAAAGTCTTAGTATCTAAATTAGATCATGGGGAAATTCAATCTCTCTTATCATGTCTAGCATCCCAAAAAACGATTTCGACCACGTTTCAAGCTATTGACGCGTACATTCAAATGGGGAGGTCTTTATATCGTCAGCATATGACACTCGACATGTTATTCAGTAAATACGTCATCATTTATAAATACATTGGAAAGCAGTGGCCCAGGATCGAGCCCTGAGGCATTTCTGATGGACTTTTGGCCCGTCCATCAAAGGAATACTCTTGAGAGAAAAAAATAATTTATAACAATTATACTATTATACTCTGTTTGGAAATGAGAGTAATAAAACCCCGAGATAAGAACCGGCCATGGGCGTGCTAATATTTCGTTTCAGGTAATTATCGGGTAACACTAATGCTAACAGGTAATGGGTGTACATTAGTATATTTTACTGGATACATCATAGGGCAGGAGCCAGTGTATTGTGACAGATCACAGTCTTAGAGCTGAATATACGAAGACGTGCTGGTGCAGTAGAGTAAAATTCGACTTGTGTTTAGTGACTAAAGTACACTCATTTTATTTTAAAAAAGATATACCAACGCTAAGCAAAATTTTAAGTGAACTTTCAGAGGACAACGATTTGCCAAAAATCAGTAGAAGCAAATTATGGGCCGTCTTACGAGAGTTGAATTTTTGCTGGGAAAAGCAGAACAGGAAGTCAGTTCTTATCAATAAAGATGTAATTATTTGTTGGCGAAGATCCTACTTAAGATCAATTAGAAAATTCCGTGACGTAGGGAGGAATCTTTATTATCTAGACGAAACTTGGGTCAACGAGGGATATACTGTAACAAAAGTATGGCAAGATAAAAATGTAAAAAGTTTTCGACAAGCATTTTTGGATGGACTTTCAACAGGGTTCAAGGCACCTTCAGGTAAAGGGCGAAGATTAATAGTGACACATATAGGTAGTGCCAGTGGTTTTGTAGATGGCAGTTTACTTTTATTAGAATCTAAAAATACAGGTGACTATCACGAAGACATGAACGCAGATGTTTTCGAAGAGTATTTTACACAAATGTTAGATCTTATTCCTCTGGGGTCTGTAATTGTCATGGATAATGCCAGTTACCATTCACGGCAGACCGAGCGGACGCCTACGACTGCTTGGAGGAAAGCCGATATAATTCAATGGTTATCCGGAAAAAACATTTCTTTTGAAACAAATATGGTGAAAAAGGAACTTTTGACACTTGTCAATCTTAATAAAGATCAGAAAAAATATGTTATCGATGAAATGGCAACAAATCGCCAAATAACAGTACTACGGTTACCACCATATCACTGTGAACTTAACCCAATCGAATTAGTCTGGGCGCAGGTAAAAGGAGATGTAGCGCGAAATAATACGACGTTTAAATTAAGTGACGTGAAAATTTTGTTAAAAAATTCCTTGGAACGAGTAACTGCAGATAACTGGCAAAGATGTATACATCATGTACAAAAAGAAGAGGAGAAAATGTGGGAACTCGATAATTTAATTGACGTTACTGTGGAACCTATCGTTATCAATCTAGGAGACGAAGATAATTCATCAGAATATTCAGAGGATGAATTTTAATACACCTACTTTTTTATTTTCTTTATTGTACATTTATACAACACTACATTTACTCACCATAATTTGAATTTTCATAATACATATATTTTTGTGTCTATTCATTAAATTTAAATAAATATTTTGATAATAATATTGAATAATTTTATTTGAATTACTAAAAACCTTCTTAACCCGGTTATGATGTTTAAAGTAGCCTCATGTTTTGAAATGTTGTTTTTACTAGCTACAATTTAGTACAGTCCGATCGCACAAAGTTTTGTTAAAAGTACACCTCATCTATACGGAAAATACATAATATAAAAATATTGAATATAAGCACTAGTACTACATTTATTTACGATTTGCATACATAATGAGCTTTTATTACTCTCTTTCATTTCTAAACAGACTATAAGAAATAATGCATTTATGGATATGTTGCTAGAATCTCTGTGTCAAAATATAAAGATATCTCGAGATGAAAGTATTAAAAAGACATTTCCTATTTTCGTAACACCTGATTTACTTCGGACATTGTTTACATTTTTAGGTGTGGACTCGGTTGGTAGGAAAAAAATATTTGTTTTCAACTGCCATGTTCCCGGAGAAAATGGAATGAAAAAAACACTTTATTGTAATATAAATAACATTTTTATTTCTTATAATAGTAGTATGAATACTATGACATAATGACGTATATAAAAAAATTGATGACACGGAAAACAAAAATTCCACCTATTCACATTTAAACAAATGCGTTTCTTGGGTGAAATTATCAGAGTCGGCATTTGAATCCGGATTATGATGAAACGACGTGGGAGGGTGGGAACTTGAGGAATTGCCCGTAGAGAAAAACGCTGAATCCGCAAGGTCTTTTCCTTTTCTATTAATATCTTTTATCAACTGTAGCACGCCCATCCGAAATTCCAATTTATCCTCCTCGGACATTTTTTGCACGGTGGGAGTTATTGAAATAAAAAACGCCTCGTCTTCGTCCGGAGCGGTTTTGGTGCTTCGCAAGGCCTTCAGGATCTCCTGATCCATGTCCTCTTGAAGTCGAAGTCTTTTTCGAATGTTACAGGCGTCGTCGACCTTCGCCGATACCGATTCTTCTGTCCTTTCTGCTTTTGCTTCGTCCGAGGTGCTGTGCAGATGTGGGCTCGATTCTTCGCCGTCTCTTTGGAGGACCTTCATCAGGAATTGGAGTTTTTCATGGTACAGGTACGTTCTTACGGTGGGATGGACGGATCGTTTTTTTAAGGACTTGACAAAGGCGTCTCTGACGTTTTGCCACTTTCCGTGAATTTGTTCCCCTAAAACAAAAGAAAATTCCTAATGGTACTAAATGTTTTTCAGATAACATTTTAATACAAATTTATTTTAAAAAATGTTACTACTTTGTTTAGCAACAACGAATTAATTGGAACTAGAGCGATTCGCGTTATGCCTAAGGTACCCTGGTGAATTTTATAGAGAAAAAAGAGCTTTAAAATAAGTAGAAAAAGATTAACAAAGAGAAGGTACGTTTTTTAAAGTACAGAAGAGATCATGATTGGTTGAAATAGTCGTCAGTATGACATAAAAGACAATTTTTTACATGTTTTTGACAACTATGACAAAAAAGTAGGTATAACCTTATTTATACTATAAAATATGAGCCTCCTATTAAAAAAAATGTCGGTAATGTTTGTCTGTCAAACATGGCTGAAAAAAAAGTAGAAAATATTGAGGAAATGTGACAATTTCTGTTTAGGTACTTCCTAATGAACCTGTTCAGCGATTTTTTTAAATCCAAACCGGCAAAAAATATAATTTTTGTTTCATCACTTTAGGGACACAAAATAAAAAAATATCTACCCACCCGTTGAATATTTGGATATACCAAGGACAACATAAATTTGATAGAATAATCTAGTCTTTACCAGAAGCCGCATATCTATTTGCTGCTCTATATTTAACAATTTCGACAACCTTCGAAAATGATACGCCCATGCAATCGCATCCCCACACGCCTTAAGGCGGTTTTCCACTAAACGGACAAAACAAAAACAAAACACAAACTTGTGTCGAATAAAACAAAACTGTAACTTTTCGCCAACTTTTTGAAGGTTGGCGTGTTTTGCGACAGTTGGAGTTTTGTTTTTCTGGTCCCGCTTCAAAAAGGTGGTTTTCCACTAAAAGGACAAAACAAAACACAAACTTGTGTCGAATAAAACAAAACTGTAACTTTTCGCAAACTTTTTGAAGACTAGCGTGTTTTGCGACAGTTGGAGTTTTGTTTTTCGGGTTCCGCTCGAAAGCGGTCGCATCAAAAGGTGTTTGGAAACTCAAGTCTGTTTAGTGGAAACGGTCTGTTGTGTTTTCTATTTAAGTGATCCAACCCAATATCTATGTTGGCGTTTTCTTCTTCCCAAGAACAATATTTTAATCATTAATGAATTATAGCTATTAAAAAATATATATGTGTACGGTTAACGTGTTTACTTGGCTAGGATACAAACTAATCAAGTAAACACTTTAACTGTACATATACCACGAATTCCATCGATGGATATCTGGGAAACCGCTCGAAGGATTTTTTTGAAATTGTGACGGCGTGATACGGACTGTGGAGCCTACCAAGCTAAAATATTTTCAAGGTCATCGTATTTCCGGTTATACCGGAAGTTGATGCTAACTTTCCTATTTTAAATGGAACCCCCTGTATATTATTGCAAAAAAATTAGGGGGTTCCATTAAAAAATTTCGAGTTTTCCACATATTCTGAACTTCATATTCGATAAATTTATTTTGACCACCCTGTATAAAAATTGGAAAGTTTTCATGTCAAATTCGATAAAGTAGGTCTTTCTCTACAAAATGTCCAATTTGCATAAAAAAATAAACCGGGGAAACTAAATTTTGCTGACGGTCTGCATCTGTCAATTTTTATTTAAAATTCGAAATATCTCGGAAACGGTCAATCCTAAGTATGGAGTGTGCCATATGTTTTCAACTTAAAAATGGATGACGTTTCCAACAATGCAATAATATACAGGGGGTTCCATTTAAAATAAGAAAGTTAGTATCGACTTCCGGTGTAACCGGAAGTACGATGACCTTGAAAATATTTTAACTTGGTGGGCCTCACGGTCCGTATCACACCATCACAATTTCAAAAAAATCCTTAGAGCGGTTTCCCAGATATCCAACGATGGAGTTCAAGGTGGGACACTGTAGACACACTTTTTTCCAAGGACTTCAGTATAAACCAGCCATAGCTAAGAATAAAAAAATATTCTCTAAACATGTTGGCTGGTTATTGGAAAAATGTGTTATGACTTCCTCGCGACAACCAGTGGAAAAGGACTGTAAACAAAAACAAAACTCGAACAAAATGTAGCCCGCTTGATGGAAACAAGAGTTTTGGGTTTGTTTCAGTTTTGTTTTTGTTTTGTTCTAGAAAACACAAACAGGACATAAACTCAACTGTCAGTTTAGTGGAAAACCGCCATTACGCGTTTTCATAATGAGTCACAGCCTACTATCTTGACACTGAAGTATAGTTACCCGATTATCAGTGCTGTTACATTCACACAACTGCTAAGAACGCAACTTACCAATCCTCCTCTGCTCCGTCTTGTCCTTCGTGAAGAAATCCTTCTCCAAAACGACGCAGATCTCCTCCCAGGCCCTCTGCTTCTCCGTGCGGTCCTTGAAGACGTCCATGGTGTGATCCCAGATGGCGGGCCTGTTTCTCACCAGTTCAATCAAAGTGGTCATGTCGTACTTGAACGATCTGTTCATTTCGGCGAGCGAAAATCGAACGATGAACGGTAAACGCTCGATAAATACCAAGTCGATAAGCAACGAGCGCGACCAGCAGTAGGCAACAAAACACTGCCCCGACTTGTCGGCGCCGTCTCCGATATTCCACGATCCGGGCCGTGCCAACGCTTCCATTTGCTTACATCACATCCGTCCCGGTTCGATCTCGGCACCGGTTTCTGCCGTGCGTGACGGGGGCTAAGGCGGCCCGCACACCGGCGGATTTGTCCGCGCAGCCGTCGCGGCAGCGGAACGTACACGGGAAGTTTTGTCTGCGGATGTGGAATGTACAGAAATATCTTAAGGTTTCATCCGGCACAATCTAAACTCGTTCCTAACAGAAAAGTAAGTACGTGGGGGCTTAAACTGGAGACAAAAGGGATTATTAGTGCATTGGAATTCTAGTTTTCTCCCTGTATTTGTTGAATCCGAGATATTTTATCAAGTTAAAAGTTTACTTACATAACATTTCAGAAAAAAAGTTGCATATTTCTTATGTTCCATATCTTGTTTGTTCCAATTTATAAAAAAGGAACTTGGTGTTGTATTTAACCTGATTGCAGGTCAAATTAGGGAAAAATTTTGATATAACAAAAAAAATATTCTATTACTGGGGGCTGCAAAATTCATCGAAATCTTGTGCATGAAAAAGTTAAAAGTCCATTCTTCTGCTTTTGTTCGAAATAACCTTTTCAATTACTTTTTCATTCGCAATTTGCTACAATCAATTTAAACTTTTACTTTTACAATATTTCAAAAAACACAGAAGAAACAATACGTAAGTAACAAAATTTTACACCACACCTAAACAAATTGCGTTTATTAAGAAAAAAAACCGGTGAAACGGCTATTATTTGGTTACGCCGGACTAAACAAAAAACAAACTACATAGAAATATGCGCCATTGCCACTCCGTCTTTCACTGCTGCACGACGGTAACCATGACCACCGTTGTAAACACTTTACAAATGTAGAGGCGAGCTACGAAGAGCTCACGTATTCAGAGTTTTGCAAATCGAATTAAAGTGACTGCACATTACTTTAGCATTTCCTTTTTAATGTGTTCATTTGATCCTACCGCAAACACTTTCATAGCACACTTTTCATTACACTAAAATATCGCCTTTGTCGGGGCGGCCAGGATGTAACAGCGAGGAACGAAACAACATGAAGAAGAGTCATGGCAATCGTGGCATGGAACCCTTTGGCCTCGGCAGACATGCGCTAGCGGTAGAGAAAGATAGAATTGCATCTTCGGCTAGCGCTGTCTTCGTCTAGCGACAACCGGACCGTAAATGAACGCGTCCAGTTCACTGCAGTGTGCCGGCTCAGGCACCGGGATCGAACCGTCTAAAGCTCACCGTACACTAGCGGATTTAACTTCTTTAATGTCATCTGGGAATATCATTGTAGTAAAATAAATATTTCAATATTTTTATAAATACATATTTGGCTATGCCTCCTACGAATAAAAAAAGCCAAAAGTGAAGTAAATTATTTCAGGGCTAAAATCATTCGTCAGTAGAAGCACCAAACACACCGCTTTCGAATTATTAATTATTTTGAACTAATTGACTTCTTTGTTAGTTCCAAAAAGTAATAATGCTGTTTTTTTTACATATAGGGAATTTAAAATATACTGGTGTTTTCTCCCATTTAATAGTTATTTATTGTGCAAGTGTTTTAAGGAGGTATATCGGGTTTACTCAAATGCACAGATGTACTTGAAATTTATACGAGTATAGCGTATTAGCCAGTGCTGCCTCTGTGCGTCATATTTTTTTGAAATTTTATTTGAATCTAGACTGAGATATTGTTGTTGAAAGTTGTTCATATTAACATAGGTTTATATGGCGAAGATGGACGGTGCGGCTCTTTTTTGCCCATAACTGAGAAAAAAATGTAGAAATTGTGAAACAAAACTTTTCCATAGATAGTACACAGTATTATCTTATTTTTGATGTAAAACTAATGTAAGTTTTGAACATAGTGCAGCTGTATTAATTAGAAACAGAAACCAATAATTGCATTTCTGCCTGACTTGAGGATTAATGTGGCAACGTCGAAATCCGCTGACAGCAAGGAGGGAATACATTTGAAAGACTTGATAAAAACGAAATTGATTTCAAACGTATACATTTTTCCTAAATCCCATGTACATTGCTATCAACAATAAATTATCCACAACAGATGATTTTTTGTAATGTTTTTAAAAAACTAGATTAATTAAAAAAGACTAGGAAGCTGTGATATATTTATTGGAATAAAAAATACAGTTGATAAATCCTTTTAATATATTTAATGGTTTACAAAAACATCGTAATCATTACCCAGCAATATTTAGGGTTACATAAAGTTTTCTTTACTTGATTAATATAATTAGTAATACTTGAGATAAAAGCATTTGTACGGAATAACAAAGGAATATAAATATTTCGCAGCAAACTTTATATCTAAAAAAATTAGTTATAGTTGCAAAACTTTTGTAACATTACTCAAATAGAGATTAAAAACACGAACAGTAAATAATAATGTAATTTCTATCACAGAACCTTCAAAATTGCATCCAACATTTTCTTTGACTTGGACGAGAGATGGGCGCGAGTGTCATTTCTTTAGAACTAAATTAACATAATTCTCGTTGTTTTACCAGTTCACAGGATTTACGGATTTTAAATAAAGGATACAAATCTTCGCGAGGATAATATGATATATTTGTTATATATAATAATAATATTGTACATAGTTTACACACAATACATTTTTGAACGCGTACGCATCTTTACCCAACTTTACCAAAAAACGAAATATCTATTACTAAAAATGTAAATGTTAATGTCAATAAGTAAATAATAAATTAAATTTGATAGGTTTATTATTTTTTTCATTATTCTACTAGTGAAATAAAGTTACTTTATTCCACTAGTGGATAAAGTATCACTTTAGACGGTTCATGTGTGTGGGTAAAAGTCCGATTATAAAAAAATGGATAAATAAATTTTATATAAATGTAACACAGCACGGGTATTCGACATGTTGCACTATCGATAAGCATACATCAATCGCACTGCTAAAAAGTTATTTTTATACCTGGTTTTGAAATAAAATGTGACTTAAATTGTAAAGGCGAACACAGTTAACATTTGCATTGTAGCAATGTTTGCATTTGCATACGCCGTTGATATCTCCCAGAATTCTGGAAAAAATATACGTAAATATATCGCAAATTATTCCGGCAAGCTTGCGCATATAAAATACTTGTTTTTTTATTACTTACATGCAGAAAATGCGCATCGAAATTTGTCTTGTATACAAACAGCGTCTATACCAGAATCACATGCATTCAATTTTTTTAAATTAAGAGATTGTTAAATTTGACAGTATTGAAACTAGTCTGATCGTCTTCGCGCAAGTTCTATCCAAACAATTCAAGTCAATATCAAATTGAAGACTTATTTTTTCCAAGCTGACGTAATAATATCTATTTATACGTACAGGATGTAATAATTTGTCCTGTTTTATTTTTCCAAACGGTACAATTTTATTTGATAATTAAACTGAGCTAAACACACAAAAATAAGTCTTAAAAATACATGTAGGGATTCCTTTTTAAATAAGGATAAATATTTTTTGCTTTGTATAAATAATTTTTCATTTAAGTACACTACTTTTCTTTGGGTATAAATAGCAAGCGATTTCTTTATGTTAGAGGGAAATTTGAAGGTGCCTTTCTCAGGGAAAAACATTTGTTTTAAGGAATGAATTGATATTTTACTTATAAGATAAATAGTATCGTTGAATGTTTTAAAAAATTATAAGTCAGTATTTAAAAAAAATATAAATAATTTAAATTATTGTTATGGCAACAAACATTTTTATTTATCGGTCTACTTTGATTGAAACATGAAATTATATTTTTTTAGACACTTGTAGCTTCTAAACAAAAGCGAATTAACGACATTTTCAAATAAATCATTACGTTTTACATCAAAACGTTAAAAACTATATTCAAAGCGGCCTGTAACAAAAAAATTAAACTTTGCATTATGTCCAATCAGAATCGCGTGGTTCTGTTACGGCACCGAGCTAGATTTTTCCTCGCCGTCCGCATCTCGATGTCCCGCAGCAAAACCAAATGTATTCCAACGAGTAGGAAGAGTACGAGCGGCGATTTATGCACCTAGTGATCTTTTAACTCGCTGATGATCATGTTAGGAACGTAAATAATTGCGAAACTTTCATAAATGCGGCATAACCCACATAGAATGCACATCCGCGTGCCGGTTTGCTCATCGCGGAATTGCAAATAACGTTGCGATGCACAATAACGCCCGTGGGCTCGCACCGAGCGGAGGAATACTGGCAAATATTGATATACAGGGTGTCCTTTCTGAGAGGAGGGCGATTCATAATTACATTTTATATCGATGTAAATATACGCTCAAATATGCTGGACATAAACATTAGGTTATATAAAAATACCCAGTACGGCAGCTGTAACAATGGATTTTTTTATGCTTTTGTCTCTCGGTAGGTCCAAAACCAATGAAATGTTTCACAAATACGTTATTTTATTACTAATTTATCACAACTTAAACCAGAAAAAACTGATAAATTTATTTAGTTAGTTCTTCTGATATGAGACATTTTCATTTTTTTAGATGTAGAGGCCCATACTCATGCGTGAAATGCACTTATGGGTCCCTCATCTCTCAGTCTTATTTCATATCGAACTGTCGAGAACTTCAAGCCATTTTTAAAGACAAAATGTTCTAAATTTGAGACCAATTATGTCCAACGAAACTTGTGCCCGGGCACAATAAAAAGATGCCGACTTTTAGTTTTTATACGGTTTCAACTATCTTCGTAAACACTATACACGCGTCAGACTTGTCCTACGGAAAAAATGTAAACAGCTATTGTTGTGAAACATTTAGTAAATTTCAAAACAATTGTTTTCCAGATTTTAAATAAATAAAATAAAATGCATCGATTTTGTCGTACGAAGACAGTGTTGTGCTTAAATTTTAGCTCGAATTTTAGTAAATATGAATCTCTTAAAACAGGATCTT